ATTATATTCAAATTTCTATCTTTATCACAACCTGCAAGACCTCTAAAATAGGAAGAAAATGAAGGTTGCAGCTTTCTTAGAAGAAATCATGTGGCAAGAACACTACACAACCAGCTTTTAAGGCAATCATAACAATCACACTTTGAGCTGAACATTGAGGTAATAACCATTCTTCATGTCTACTAGAAGCCCAACAACTTCTTCTTGGACAAGCATTTCCCAGCTTTCTCGGTGGATTGGTACTACCAGAACTAGTAGCCCTCCCAGGTTCACCAAAAATAATTTTGTTTTAGAGCAGAACCATGTTATGTTCCATCGAATTAATTTTAATTGTTGATTTCAAATAGATTAGCTAGATTTAGACAAGCAAGGGGTCTTGCCTAGACAAGGTAAATTTGTTTGTACAGATATATAAATAGGCCCTCTTCACAGAAACCAGGCTGTATTTAAGGCTACTGTATGTCTGGGTTTCCCCAAGCACATCCTCTCTTCCATATGGTAAACTCCTCAGTGTTTACCAAGACCAATACCTATATATTTGTAAATGCAGAAACTGCAGTCCAGCTGGACTGCCTTACATCCAGAAATTTTAAGACACACATACAGCACAGAAACAGGAAGCTCAACACCCGGACATAAATATGGCAGTCTTACTAAACACCATCCACAGCACTCTGTACGAGTAAGTCACACCTATTCCAGCATCCTTGCTTTGATACAGAGGGAACTTTTCCACACATCACCAAAGTTTAAATTAGCTTAGAGCCTGGCTTAAACGTAAGCCTGGTGTATTCATTCAGCTCAGCATTTTTAAAAATTTCAGGGGCATTTCCCACAGAGCAATACATGGTGTGCCCAGATGGGGCAAAACACAACAGAAGCACATAGCAATTTCAGCTGCAGAGACTAAGAAACAGACAGTGTTGAAAGAAGAAAAACCTCTCTGTTCGTCCTGAAGAAGGCTCTGTGGAGAGCTTTTTGTGGCCTTTCAATACTTAAAGGGGGCTTGAAGAAAGACGTGAACAAAATTTCTAGTAAGGCCTGTAATGACAGGATGAGGTGTAATAGTTTTAAACTAAGACGGTAAGATTCAGGCCAGTTAGAAGGAAGAAATTTTTATACGAACAAGTTGCCCAGAGAGGTGGTAGATGCCCTATCTCTGAAAACATTCAAGGTCAGGTTGGATGGGGCTCTGAGCAACCTGACTGAGTTGAAGATGTCCCTGCTCTGCAGGGGGAGTTGTACTAGGTGACCTTTAAATGTCCCTTCCAACCCAAACCATTCTATAATCCTGTATTCTCCATCTGCTGTACTCATGTGTGTGCATACTCATGTACTGTCCACAGCTAGAATGGACTGGGAAAAATCTATCCACCAGATGGCACAGCTGGGAAGGCAGGAAGAAAAAAAAAAAAAAAAAAACAAAAAAAGTCCACACACTGAAGCAAAAAATGAGGCTATCCTCTTTTTTGTACCGTAGTGTAACTAAGCCTGACCCACAACTAGAACTCTGAATGCCAGTACAAGGAAACAGTCTTAAGGCTAATTTGATTTATTCGCTTTCACTGTCACGAATCAGTCCAAAAGTGTTTTAGCAAGGCTATGGAATTTTGTGTTTACATGACCTGTAAGTCTTTGTAGATTCATTATGAGTGATTTCTTTATCAAAAGAAATCTACCAATAAAGCTCAAAATATCTTCAAGATCAGTCAGGCACACATCTAAGAGCATTAGCATCTCCCTCACTCCTCTAGAAAAGAAACAGGAATTGGAATTTAAGTCTGAAGGTAGAGGAAATAAGATAAAGCATCGATACGTTCAGACTTCATGCATACAGTATACATTTGAGTTTTACTTTCCTCCAAACAGAAGTTATTTATAAAGTATCACTAATTAGTAAACAAGTACTAGACACACTGCAAGAGAAAGTCAATCCAAATCAAGCTCTTCCCATTCCTAATTCACCACTTAATGAATAAAGAGCCTAAGAACTTGGTATACGCAAAAGAACATGGAAATCAAAAGCTAACATCCTAGAAGACTATCACCGTGCATTACACTATGGTTCAGTTGAGTCTTCCTGAAAACTATCTCCAATTTATCTGAAGAGTTACTTGATCTGGCCTTCAGCACTCAAAAGATCTCTAAAAGTACATATTCAAGATAAGCATGCACACAGTTGTTGAGAGCTGGGAAGACATTCTTGGTGAATTTTCCCAAGCAGCCTGGCTACTGGCCACCTCATATTGATATCTCAGAAGATAAAGAAAAAAACTCACACATGGAGGGCAAGATGATCTAAGCAGGCAATTCCAATCAAAAGGCAAATAAATGTGTCATACAACCCAGAAGATACGTAGTCTTGAGCAACAAGGGTAAAAACAGTTAGTGTAACCTAATTAAAGTAAGAGCAAGAACTCATGACAGCTAATATCACAGCCTAGAAACAGGTGTCACCAACCAGCAACCCAATGACAGCAAGGAAGTTTCCTGTTGCTGTGGCTTTTGATATGTATTTGCTATCCGTTAAAATTCATGTGCAGCAACCACTGAGAGACGATCATAGACTGATATTCAAACTTAAATCCATCCATTTCACTTCAAGTAACCAAAAGGACTACATATGGACTGCATGGCAACATTTCATAAATGTGTCTTTTTATTATTTAAATGTACATTTTTACAGCTCAAAAGCCATCTTTCCTTATCCTTTAAGTCTAAGTTGAAGTATGAGTAGTGGAGCCAAAAATCTTGCTTTAAACTAATTAATTACTCCAGAGTTAAGAGTCAATAGAAATTTTTCTGCGCAAGCATCATGGGGAGGGATTCATACTCACTTTACCAGAACAGGTCAGCTAAGCAACAGCATGAGCTCCAGAATGTGAGCTGCCAATTGTACAAAAAAACAAAGCTTCATTGTGAAACACTACTATTCGAACCACAGCTTAAAATATTATACGCTAGCAGTAGAACAAATAAAATGTTAAATGGAAGCAAAAATAATTCATGCACAATGCATTTTTGTAAGTTTTTTTTTTCCCAAAATAAAACCTGCAATCATTTATTCCCTTTCAGACACAAGCTGTTGTACAAGGCACTCCGTCACAACCAGAGAAAAACCAGTCCATTTCCCTTAAGAATCTTTCTAATCTCTGCTCAGAGGGAGAAACAGAGATGAGAAATTATAAGCAAAGCTTGGTTCAGAAGTTGCACATACATATCCCTAAAGATTAAAGTACTATGAATACAAAGCATAGATTAGGTTGCTGGGACACAATGTACCCAACCATAACCCAAAACGCTATTAAGTTGCAACACAAGTATTTATGGTGTAGGGAAAAGGTATAGAACATGTATTTAAAAAAAAAAAAAAAAGATAAGCAGAGTAATATTTAAGATAATGGGGCAGAACAATCCAACAAGTTGCATACCAAAACACTGCTGAACCCCCTCCTCTTAAAGCAATCTATATTTAAGTAATTATACTGATGAGCAAAGAGCACCTTTCAAATGTCTTTTTCAAAATTTCTCAAAAAAACCCCACCACCACATATACATGCTTTTGATGTCCCAGAGAAAACGGCATTATGAAGTCAGTGTTGACAAGGTTACTATTTGGTTTGTCTTAAAAGCCTACCTACTAATCTGGGTTTCAACATCCAGAAAAAAGGGAGTTTTATCTGTACTGGTGATCGAAGATAAACTTCGACTGATGATACCTGCAGGTTTCTTCATTCTATGCTACACTGCTTACCTTAAATCACAAACATAAGGCACAATTGCCCAAAACCTTTACATATTTTAAAATACTGATTTTATTGTTCATACTTAAGTTTCACATCTAAGAAGAACAGATAGCAACTACTAAAAAAAAAAAAAAAAAAAAAAAATCCTGAAAGCTCTAAAGACTCTACTTCGTAGTAACTCAGCTGAACAAAACTTTCAGATTTCCAAAACTTGTTTCACTTCCAGAACTGTACATACTCCATAAATTCCTTTCTATAAGCCTTCTGCAAAGTGATCCAACTACTCGTGGAGTACAGCAACCAAGTAAGTGAACAGCGCATACCCATGCATGTACTCTCATCTCCATCGTGCCAGGTATTTGTTAAACATGGAATTAAAGATTCATGGCAGAAAAGGCCTAAGAAGACTAAACATTCAGGACATATCTTAAATAAAAAGAAAATGCTGTCAGTAATTCCACAGCTTCTCCAAAAGCAGGGAGTAAGTCAGTTTCCTCCTTACTTTAAAGGAAAGACTTACTATTTAATGCACACAAAACCCTTCATAGAGTTTCATTAGCCATCCACGAGAGCCACTTTTGGAGACCGCTCTGCAGGCAGGCAGAGGAATGTCAGCGCACTAAATGTCTCTGCTTCTACAGACACTCACGTACATACAACTGCATACCTAACGCAGCTTCTACACGTAATTTTAAACACGGAAGACTGCGACTAACCCAACTGGAGGAAGGGATTAAGGCCGCCCATAGCTCGGTTAGCGAGGCTTCTCCAGCTCGCCCCTCAGCCAGGCAACTGCAGCGGGCTGGGATAGGGAAGAAGGAAAGCGAGGCTTTTCCCCCCCCCCCCCCCCCCCCCCCCCCCCCCACCCCCCCCCCCCCCCCCCCCCCCCCCCCCCAATCCCTTTTAAATAGGAAGGCAGCTACTTCACCTAGACAGGAGGGACGGACCCCCGCGCCCGCCAGCGCCGAGAGGACGCTTAACGGCGCCCCTCCGAGGGGCTCCGCAGAGCCGGGCCCGGGGCTCGGGCCACCGAGCCTCCTCCGGCCGCCACCCCAGGCCCAGCGGCGCGGCCCAGGCGCTGCCCCCGCACCCCCGGCCGCAGCGCGGGACGAGCCGAGCCCGCCCCGCCCGCTCCCCCCCCCCCTTCCCCAAACCGCCCCCCGCCAGCAGCCCCGGCCCCCGCGGGGAGGCGACGGTTCCCTCTCGCCCTCCGCGGTGGTGCGGGCCGGGCAGGCGGGACGGCACCTCGCTCACCTTCCAGCAGGCGGGTGATGAGGCTGTCCACGTTCAGCTCCCCATCCGCCATTTTGTGGCCACCAGACTCGGTCCCGGGCGGGGAAGGGCGGGGTGGAGGGCGCTTCGCGGAGGAGGAGGAGCAGGCAGCGGTGGCCGCAGCTACAGTGGCTCCCCCCGCCCCCCCTCACGACAGTCCCCTGCGGCCGCCCGGCTTCTCCCGCGCCGGCAGCCGCAAGCGCCGCGCCGCTCCCTCACCGCTAAATGGGGGGAAGCGGCCACCCCTCCTCCCCGCGCCTCCTCCCCGCCTCAGGAGCCGCCGGGCGCATGCGCTCCCCGCACGCCGGCCGCCCCGCGCACCGGGCACGGCGCAGGCGCCGAGCTGCGGGCGGGCTCCGGGGCGCGTGCGCAGAGCGGTCAACCAGCCCTCCCGCCCCTCTGCCGGGCGCGGCGCGGCGGGTCGGGCTGGTCACCCGTGGGGCGCGGGTGGAGGGAGCTGGGCTTCCCTGGTCTGATGTCAGCCCGGCTCGCAAGCCGGGGCTCCCCCGCGGGGTTTCTCCCGGGGTTTTCCCCAGGGTGCGGCTCTGGGTCGGCTCCGTCTGGCCGCCCGCGGAGCGCGGCCTGTCCTGAGGGGTTGGGCAGCTCCGGCGGCGCTTTTTGTAACTCCGGGAGCAGCTCCCGGGGGCATCGTCGTGGATGTGGGGATACTTGACGCTTCTCGTGGTGCCCCGCTTCCCTGTAGCTGCAGGAGAGCGCTGCCTTTCCCTGAAGAAGAGGTCAGGTTGGCAGCTGTCGATGAGGGACAAAAAGCAGGACAAAATGTCCTAGTAGGCTGTGTGTAACCTGTGTGCTACCCCTTCTTCGGCTGAAACTGCGCCTGTGAAAGCTCACAGTTTATTAAAAAAAAAAAAAAAAACAAAAAAACAACAACCAAACCTGTCAGAACTGGAATGACATGTCCTCTTTATAACACAGATGCTCTTTATAGCCCTCTTCTAACACAGTGCTCAGAAAAACTCCTAACCAATGTGGCTTGTATTTCGCTGTGGCTGGACCTGATAAGTACTTTTTTGGTGATTTCTGAAACGTTTTTTTAAGATGAGATCTCTAAAGACGTGTTTACATACTTTTGTCAGCAGATGCTTGCCTTGGATGGACAGAGAGGTGCTGTAAAATGGAGGTGGTGAAAACTTCTTGTGAACTGGGACAGCGGACGTGTATGTTGACAAAATGACAAAGTGCAGATGTTCTAGAGAAAACAGGCCACTTATCTTTATGACTAAATACAGATGTTGATGCAGGAACTTAACTCTCTGACCCGAACTCGAATTTTTCCACAGTCCATACAAGCCAGCAAAATCCTGTCAGTTTTCAAAACCCAGGTTTTTATCTCTTGATTAGGAGAAAATGAGTATGAGCAAAACAAAAGCAATTAGGACAAGGTGGGGCAACGATTAGGCGGCAGATGATGCTAGGTGTCCAGACAGCCACGTAGAAGAACACTTTTGAAATACCTACACAATGATAATAGAGTTTCACCTGATACACTGAAGGAAGAGGAAGAAACTCCAGAAGAGAAAATTGATTTTGTATCTCCATTTGTAGGCAGTATATATGGAAATGTAATTCCAACTCATCTGCTGAAGCATATATGGCTATCCTTCCTTATTTTCAGATTCTTCCAGTAGTGGAAATCTAAGTAAAAATTTGAATATTTTTCTTTCATTTTTTGTCAAACTAGGAAAAATAATTATAGCTTTTAAAAGGATTTTCCTTAACCCAACTACTTTATTGCTGCCAAAACTAATAGATCCATAGTCCCTCCTGAGCTTTTAGGAATTGTCCCAGTTTCATTTCATACAACTGAATTGGCCTGAAGGTTATTTTAAGGCATTGCAACATCAGGTTCAGACATAATAATAGTATATTATCACAGAACATTCTGCATTGACAATGAAATGGGGATATGAAATAATCTTTCACGGTGGCATAAAGATAAAATCTATTAGTCTTCCAAAACCCCATAAGATACTAAGCTTTCAGATACACTGAGCAAAACCTTATAAGTATTTTTACTGGGCATGTCGTCATGTTCCAGAAACAATTCAGCAGCATATCATAATAACAGTAAGTGGAGACACTGTGGAACAGAACAAGCTGCAAAAAATACCTCACTTCTTTCCTTGTAGATTCTGTGCCAGTGTCTTGCTTTGTTTCTCCATATTGTGTCTGAACCCACACTGACCTGTATAACTCGTGTCATCACATTATTGGGGATCTCTGGCAAATACACGAAGCTCGTTTTTCCTACTCCATTGCACTGCTACTCTGTTTTCTCTGTTTTCTGAAGGATAGCATCACACTGGGTCACCGTACGATTACGGTGCTGCCCTTGACGTCAGAAGCGTGACACCTCGCAGGGTGCCTCTTGGTTCCACCACGGCTGTGTCCCAGCTCACAGCACAGCACAGCACAGCACAGCACAGCACGCCTTCCCTCCTTCTCCATCGGCCCATGCAGTGGGAACGTGGCTGGGTGAGAGTCACCCCTCTGCTCTACGTGGGTTGTCAAACGGGAGGGTGGTCACCTCGCTGTGCTGCGTAACCCGGGGAAGTTTGCTTCCCCTCTGCCCCCCGCCTTGCTTTGTAGCTTTAGCAGGGAAACGAGTACGTGAGTTCCTCCCTCAGTAGGTAAAACTTGACAGGTCCTGTGGTTTGTGTTGGCGTAATCCCAGTACAGTAAATAGAATTAAAAGATCAGAGAATGAGGCCCATTGTCTTCTGTGATTCCAAAAGAAATAGTTAATGTGGCCTGAATGCATTTTCTTTGATCAAGGGGAGATGTTCAGTAATTTTTGGCATTATACCATACACAGATACAGGCCAAAGACAGCTAACTGGTGATTTAAGTAGCAGGAGGAGCTGAACATCACTGATGCCTGTGGCAAATTCTCATTAATAATTCTCAACTTTCTAAAGTTCCTTTCAGTTATTTTTCAATTTCCTCTTATGTCCACCAACCTGGATTTGCTTCTAACTTTCCCCTACTTGGTTTCAGTGTTATTTACCCTAAATACCCCGTGTCTCAACTTTCCTCTCCTTATCTGCATGCCGTCTCAAGGTGTCCTTTAATTTGCACTGCTCTTCTGCTGAGTTCAGAAGATTGAAGGACAGACATTTCCAAAGAAGGTGTCACAAAATTATATGTTAGTGAGTGTCATCGCCTAAACTGTGTCGCTCTAGACATGAATTCTCACGCTGCTGCTGCTGCTGCGAATTTGAGACCGTTGCAACCCCAGCTAGAGAGCACTGTCTCAGTATCTCTGATGTTACCCTACTCTTTCCTAGTAACCTTATGTTGGTTCGGTGAGTAGCAAAGCTACTCACTGTGCTTTGAAGTTAGTGCACTACGTGCACTTTTAAGTTATTTACTATGCCACCGTAACTTTCAAAAATCATGGCTCCAGCTACATTGCCCTCCTGGTCTGTCATCAGTTACCTGATAGGCAACACACGGCAGTCTTTCACAGCATTATCCCATCACTGTAGCTTGTTGCTAAGGTACTCTGTCACCTTTGCTGACTGTAACTCAGGGCTGACTACAGCTGTTATGTGGATGGGAGGAGGAAGCCAGGAGGAGCCACACAGTTAGTTTTCCAGCATGTAATTAGGAGCGTATTCTTCCTGGGCGTCAATAGCTGAACCACCGCTGCCTCCTCAGTGGCTTTCTTCAGTTTCTGACTTGAAACAGAAATTAGTGATCCAAATCTGCAATTTATTTTCTTAGGATAGTTTGTTTACACAATATTCACAGGTTCTGTTTCTTCAGTCCGAAATGGCAAGAATCTGTACCTAGGTAATCTCAAAATACACAAAGAATGCAGATAAATGACCACTATTTTGTCCCAAAAGTTTAAATTCAGAGGCAGGTGCAGAAAACCAAACAGCTCTCACTCCATAGCACTTTATGACCCTTACTTGTTTCTCGGTATTTGCACTAAAGCTGTGTAAATAGTAGGTTTCATTATATCCTTTTAAGATTTAAAAATAAAAAAAATTACTCTTCTATACTGGGCTAAAACCAAGACTTTCTCAACTTTGCTGAGAAATTAGAGAAGGAGGAGGAGAGTCCCAAGCTAGCCAGTGGTTTGGAGGCACATACCTAGGATGTGAAAAACTCTTCTCTGAACTGCTGCATCCAAGGCGGATCTTTTGGTATCACTGATTGGAACTGCAACACTTTGTATAAATAATTAAATATCCACTGAGGCAGGGACTTGAGTCTGGATCAGTGTTGAGTGAATGCCCCAATCGTTTGGCAATATTACTGGTCTATCTCTCTTGATGTAGCTGTTATAACTTGTAGAAATAGTTAAATATTATTCCAGCCAAAGAGGCGGGGTATTATTAAGGTAACACACTGTAAATATTCTACATATATTTTACACTTATTCTTTACACTTCAAAGAGCGAATACGTAAGTCAGATTCAGCCTCCCCAGCTTCTTGTCATACAGTTGCTCATCATTATCCAGGCAACTTTGGTGATCTCTCAGTTTTAAATCCCACATTTATAAAATGGGGATAATAACATATGTGAACCTTTCCAGGGAGTGAATAGACATAACTGAAATATTTGAAACACATTATGAGATCTTTGGTTGATACACAAATGTGTTTGCTATAATCATCAAAACTTTAGTAATAGTATTCTTGAAGAAGAAGGTTTTTTGGTAGATTAATACTGACCCGTGATTCCTGTGAATGTAGTTATGCCCTCATTGCCTTTTATGCATACTTAAAAGGCAGGGCAGTTCTAGATGTTCCCTTATTTTCTCCAGAATTAAGAGAACAGATTGTTGATGTCAGGAACCAGTGCTGAAATAATTTAAAAAAACAGAATAGAAATTTCAACCCAGTAAGTGTGGCTTGAAAGTCTTATTTTGAAAAGAGCAACTACCTCTGCCCTATCCCGATAGCTCCCAGCTGGGTTAGAGAGTCTGGGCAAGATAAGCACTGACTGGAAGGCATGAGAGAGCCTCCTGGGGGGGCCCCTGTGTGAATCAAGGACAAGGTGAGGCGTACCCAGTAGGACCTATCACAGATTACTTCATCTCTCGGTGTCAGAACTATTTAAAAATGTGAGGAGGGTTTTTTTTAAATTATATTTATTAGCATATGATACAATCTCAGTTCCCCCAGCAGCCTGTCCTACTGCCCACAAACTATCAGAAATATACAACACCTGCTGTGGCGTTATTCCCCAAGCGAGGAAGGGGGAAGGACTTCTGAGGCAAAACAAGGCAAATAATTTGGGCCTGCAGGATCTGCAGTTTGGGA